CATAACGAATAACAATGTCAGCAAATAGATAAATAAATGCGACAACTTGACATTTTTTACAGCAGAGCTGCCACCTGAATCCCCAGCGCGAAATTTATTTTCCAGTTAGTCAGCACGGCGCCGAATATGTCTATGGTTGGCAACAATGAATTTAAAAATGGCGCCCTCGATTACGTAACTAAAAGATTAATTTATATGAAATATATATTTTAATCATTATGTTAATTAAATTAAAACAAAATACCGTATGTTCGTAAAAATAACAATATCTTTTAGTATATGTTGTATATTTTATATGTAGGATGTAGGTACCGGATAACATTTAAGAATTTAAGTATTAAATAATGTTATACAGGGTGGTATGAATTGTATTCCGGAAACTTCGACAGCATATTCTGCAGATAAAAATAAGTAAAAAAGTTCGTATAAATGTATATCCTAAAATGCTTAGTTTCGGAGATACAGGGTGTAGAAGTTTCATTTTTATTTCGATTTTTTCCAAATAACTTATGAAGTAAAGTCAATATTTGGATGAAAATTTATGTCTGGAGTTTTTTGGCATGAGAAATTTGATTTTGATGTTAATATGACTCCTACTTGTAGAGGGCGCTACCTACATGTGTTTTAACTTTGAATAAGAAGACTAAGGAAGGAGCATATCAAAAATCTTAGGTACACCGCGATGGGCCTCAAATATGGCCGACTTAAATTCCGGTTTATCAGTGTCGTTCTAATTTTATTTAAAAAATGTAAAACTATGATGTAGGGTAGACGTGGGGTAGACTCAATAATTTGTTGTTTTATTTTACGTTGTGAATAAATGTTGGTAGTTATTAAAATTGTTATAAAAATATATAATTCTAATAAAAATAGATAAGTTATAATAAGTATTTATTAACACAAACATCCGATACGCTACTGAAGCAGGTAGGTCAAATTAACGTATCTAAATTCTTTGACATCTAATCTTTGACAAGTAATAAATAAAAGCTAAAATGCAAGAAAAATATATAATTTAGTTAATTTAAGTGAATTTCATAAATGATCGGTTTACTACACGTATGTATATTATATAGTCACTTACTAGCGAAAAGTTGTTCCATTATTTCACTCAATTTTGCCGAGATCTACCGCACGCTACACAACCAACTATTTTAGAGTCTTTTTCGATAAATCGCGATAGTGTCACTGTTAATTTAAGTTCTGCCACAATTTCCATCTAGATTTACTACCTTTATACAACTATCAGTAGTAGAATAAATAATAAATAACATAAAATACGCTCCGTAAAGACTGACAAATCCACAAAATTTCAAATCAAATTCAAATGTGTCAAATGAATCGTCAAACAGAACTGTCAAGGATCCCCACCCTAGAGAGCTTTTATGGTGGCTTTTCCGCCCACCATGCACGAATACATGGATAGCATTATGCTCCTTCCTTAGTCTTCTTATTCAAAGTGTTTTAACTGTTTTAAAGGGTAATATCTTTTCGTCCGTACCTGTATAAATTACTGAGTGAAAAAATATACATTTACGACAGTTGTTACGTAAAAAAGATCTCTTGGTAAAAATCTCTACTAGTAATAGTTCTCGAGATATTTGGAATCGAAATTATTAATACTTGTCATCATCATTGGCATAAATTAAACATGCGTTGACTAAATAGTTATTAGACTGAAATCATAAATTTTAAATTTTTTTGTGCCAAAAGTTCATCAGAAACTGTTTTATCATAATTTTTTCGCAAAAAAATTTATGATTAATATAAAAAAATAAAAATTTCCCAAATTTATTATTTCAGTCAAAAAACTATCTACTCAACCGGTTTATTTTTTGTCAATAATGACATGTATTGATTATTTCCATTCTAAATATCCTGAGAACGGTTGCTCGTAGCGATTTTTACCAAGAGAGCTTTTTTACGTAAAAAACGTCGTAAATGTATATTTTTCTATTCAGTAGTTTTATACAGGTACGGACAAAAAGTTATTACTCTTCAAAACAGTTAAAATACAAGTAGGTGGCGCCCACTATAAATAGGAGCCATATTGACATCAAAATCAAATTTCTCATGTCAAAAACTCCCATACACCAATTTTCATCCAAATATTGACGTTACTTCATAAATTATTTGGAAAAAATCGAAATAAAAATGAAACTTCTACACCCTGTATCTCCAAAACTAAGCATTTTGGGGCATACATTTATACGAACTTTTTTACTTATTTTTATCTGCAGAATAAGCTGCCGAAGTTTCCGGAATACAGTTCGGACCACCCTAAATAGTTTGCCCAACGAGAGAATATTATGATCGTATATAACAACTGTCACTTCTACTCAAAAGTATTCTTTCTGTAATTTTTGGATATCATCAGTCGAAATCGTTGCCTCTCGCCAAATAAACTATATGTAATATTCCTCGAAATAAATCGCCTGGGTAGTTTGCCACTTGCACTTGTAAGAAAATCTACAAAATAAAATGGTTGTCCCCTATAAACACCGCTGCGTTAATCCAACGGAGACCAATTTGTTAGCGATATTTCACTAATAAAACAAATTTGGCTAACGGACAAAAAAATGCTTAACGTTTTGGGAGGTATATCTACAAAGAAAAAACTATTTAAAATATCTAACTACAACTATTCAAGGACACTTTAGTTTTAAATATAGAAATAGTTTAGTTTATAATCTTTATAAACTAAACTTTTAACTTTTTTTAAATATTTATACAGGGTTGTTCACCACATACGACACGGAGTATTGTAGCTAAACGATTAGATTTTTACAAATTGTAAGTTTTGGGTTCGTTGAAGGACTATTAGAGGAAGGACTATTATACAATTTGAACATATTTTTACAAGATACAGAGTGTCCCAAATAAACAAAAAATATCAAAGTTGCATTTTTTTAAATGGAACACCCTATATATTATTACATTTTTAGTTTCTACGATTAAAATAAAGGTAAATTTGATTAAGGTTTACCTCACTTTAATCTTACCGTTTTTGAAATATAATCAATTTTGTGAAATTGCAGTCAAAATTGTAAGGCTTCATTTCTCCAAGGGTATCAAAGTTTTTAATACTAAATATTTACTGAAGTTTATTTATTGATCAGCTATTGTGTTGCAATAATAAAAATTATACTACCTTACACAGAGCGTCTACAAATTTTATTTTAAATAATTACTAGCTTTAAACGGCAATAACTTGTTTAATTTAAATAGAACACCCTGCATATTTCATAAAAATCAGATGCACAATTTAATTGTGTATTAAATTGTATTATACCATTTTTTTCCTATCTCTTCAAGTTTCCGTAGAAAATGCATTTTCTTGTAATTTAAAACTCATTTATCAATATACCCATGGAATACTGACATTTTAGATTATTTTTAAAGATGTATCTACCAAATTTTTATTTCATTAAGAAATAAAAAAACTGTTTAAATATTTGTTAAAGAGGACCAATTAATATGATTCCAGTATTCAAAATACATTAATTGACTGTTTGCGTTGATTAATAATAATTGCTCCAAATACTAAAAAACTGAATTTTGTATGTGTATTAGACAGTGTGGTTAAAAGTAACACCTTAAAAATGATATTTCATTTTTTGACAAATGCTTATTTATAACAACAGAGACGTTCCTTTTCATAACTTATTATTATATTGATTTCTGATTTAAATCCACATTTATTTAGAATAATTTATTAACGAACATAATTAAGTATGTAATTAATTAGTATTTGGGCGAAAACAATGGTGGTATATTTAATTAATGGTATACTCTTTTATAAAGATTTAAATAGTTTTCTTTTTGCATACAAGGGGGCTAGTAATATTATCATTTTGCTAAAAACGATAATATTACTAGTCTGTACATTTTGTACATTTGTTGCTTTAAAAACAATCTAAAATGTCAATATTCCATAGGTATATTGATAAATGAAGTCTAAATTATAAAAAAATGCATTTTCTACGAAAACTTGAAGGAATAGGTAAAAAGTGGTATAATACAATTTGATAGATAATTAAATTGTGCATCTGATTCTCCTAAAATATACAGGGCGTTCTATTTAAATTAAACAAGTTATTGCCGTTTAAAGCTAGAAATAACTTAAAATAAATTTTTGGACACTCTGTATGAGATAGTATTATTTTTATTATTGCAACACAATAACTGATCAATAAATAGACTTCAGTAAATATTTAGTATTAAAAACTTTGATACCCTTGGAGAAATGAAGCCTTAAAATTTTTACTGCAATTTCACAAAATTGAAAATATTTCAAAAACGGCAAGGTTTACGTGTAATAAACCTTAATCAAATTTACCTTTATTTTAATCGTAGAAACTAAAAATGTAATAATATACAGGGTGTTCCATTTAAAAAAATACAACTTTTTATATTTTTTATTTATTTGGGACACTCTGTATCTTGTAAAAATATTTTTAAATTGTAGCTCTAATAGTCCTTCAACGAACTCAAAACTTACAATTTGTGAAAATCTAATCATTTAGCTACAATACTCCGTGTCGTAGGTGGTGAACAACCCTGTTTATATTTTTTAGTTTAGTTTTTTTATATTTAATATTCTTTAATATACATTTTTTGTAAATGGAAAACAATATAGTGTCAGAGTAAGTTCAACAACAACTTCATAATAGGGTTTGAAATAATATTTCAGTTCAACCTTGTTTCAAGAATTAAATAACTTCCATCAGTTTAAAAAAAACTTGAAACAGTTTCTTTCCCATCACTGCCATACCAAATGAAACACGCAAAATATTTTCAAAGATAATGCAATCTCTAATTAATACTTAGAATTTACTAAACTGTATTTAAATTTTTATTTATTTTCAAGATAAGAGCGCTCAAAAATAGCATTATTTTATTAATTGTTCTAGAAAGAACAGCCATAAATTACTTTCATTACACATATCATGTCACACCAACAACAACTTATTTAATGAATAAAAGATAAATATGTATAGCTGTTAACAGATGGCATCACAAACAAACTGGTGGGATGTCGACCAGAGGATGCTCCGGAGGAAGAAACGGTCCTTGTACGAATATATGGAAATAAAACGGATCTGATTATTGACAGGAAGGCTGAAACAAGGTATGCCCTATTAATTTTGACATATTTTTAGTTTACAATATCCAAAAAATTAACGCACCACTTCTAATGATTTCTATTCTAAGCTATTCTAATGATATTTTATAACAGACCAGGTATTAGTAATGGTAATGAGCAACAGAAAGATTAAAATTCCCTTGGTCTTAGTTTTGGTCTTGCAAGGTCCAGTCTTGATCTTGGGCTTGCGCAAGACTCTTGCAAGTCTTGCATTTTTTAATAGAATTTTACTAGATGCACTTTCTACATAATAAGTTCTTTAAATAAATAGTATTTTTGGTAATTAATGCAAATAAAACTTTAAATAACGGAATTATTACAATATTTGTATGACAAATTTTTTTATTTTTCAATATATTACATATTTATAATAAACACAATAACAGTAATTTTTATATTATGATATAAACGAATAAATAATTTTTATACAGGGTGAGTTTCCTACGATGTTCTCTATGGGTATCTCGGAAACTACTGGAGATAGAGAGTCGGTTAAATGCGGAAAGAATTGCAGTTTTGTAGGGTCATAAACATGCGCCTTTCAGATTTTTGAAAAAGTTCATGGCTTATTAGATATTTTGAAAAAAAAAACAAATTTCGACTATTTTAAAAATTGTCCCTAATTCCATTATAATCTATTTTAGACAAAAAGTTTTCAGATAAAAGTTGTAGATAATCACATTCTTAATTTCATTGTGTCCTTCGTTTTTTTTCTAAAGCCTGTAATTTTTGACATATGACACAAACATTATGTTTTTTTAAATGGAAACCATAGTTGGCCATGACTTCATAAAAAGCGCCATTTTTTAAGCTTTTTAGCGATATAAGCCATAATATGTTTCTTTCGAAAAATTACCAATATATAATAAGGGTTATAGCCAATTCTTATAGTTTTTAAAAAATTTCACTTAGTTAGCCATGGAAATAAGTTCAATCGTCGTTGCTCCCAGAAATGTGAAACTGTCACATCCTAACTTTATAATTTAAAATAAACAAAAATTGTAAATATGATTTTTTCAAATGAAGAAAAGCGCGTAGTATTATTGGTTTATTTACTTGGCCATACATTTTCGAGGATACGTTGACCGGTGAACGTTACTTACGTTTTTTAGAAAAGTTAAATTTATATACTTGCGTTTCAATAGAATGGTTCCAACGTGACTTTCATTATGACATTGCCCCTAAGAATAAAAGAAATGTTAAAAATTATTTATACTCTTCGATCACCTGACCTATCCATTTTAGATTTTTTTAGGCGATATGGTTAACAATAAGGGTCACAAAAGAACTTCTGAATTGCCACAGAACGGTTGACTACGGCCGGTCGACTTTAGTAGACTTCTCCCGTACCGCCTCTTCGAGTGCCTCTCTTAATTCATAAGTTCTAAAATGGATAAGTCAGGTGATCTAGGAGGCCCATGCAATTGGTCCACCTCTTCCTATCTCTGAGTTTGCATAATTAGGTATGATATAAATAATTTTTAACGTTTCTTTCATTATTAGGGGTGTCATAGAGAATAATGAAATAAAAAAATCATGTTGGAACCATACCATCGAAGCGTAAGTATCTAAATTTAACTTTTCTAAAAAACGTAAGTAACGTTCACCGGTCAACGTATCCTCGAAAATGTATGGCCAAGAAAAGTTAAACCAATAATACTACGCGCTTTTCTTCATTTGAAAAATTCATATTTACAATTTTTGTTTATTTTTATTTATATAATTTGGATGTGACAGTTTCACATCTGTGAGAGCAACGACAATTGAACTTGTTTCCATGGCTAACTAAGTGAAATTGTTTAAAAATTATAAGAATTTGCTATAACTCAGTAATTTTTCGAAAGAAACATATTATAGCTTATATCGCTAAAAAGCTTAAAAAATGGCGCTTTTTATGAAGTCATGGCCAACTATGGTTTCCAATTAAAAAACCATATATTGGTGTCATATGTCAAAAATGGCAGGCTTTAGAAAAAAACGGAGGACACAATGTCATTAAGAATGTGATTATCTACAACTTTTATCTGAAAACTTTTTGTCTAAAATAGATTATAATCGAATTAGAGACAATTTTTAAAATAGCCGAAATTTGTTTTTTTTCAAAATATCTTGTAAGCCATGAACTTTTTCAAAAATCTGAAAGGCGCATGTTTATGACCCCACAAAACTGCAATTCTTTCCCCATTTAACCGACTCATTATCTCCGAGTTTCCGAGATACCCATAGAGAACATCGTAGGATACTCACCCTGTATAACATAAAAGACCAAGACCATCATTAACCGGTATAATTTCTTCCCAGACAGGGAACATAATATCGTCCCATTGCTGGCAAAAGTCGCTAACTGACTTTTTACTTTTTATTAATTTTATTATTTCTGATAAAAACGCGTCTAAAGATTAACTGCATTGTATAAAGTTGCTGGTGGCTATTCGATATTAAAATACAGCATTAATAGTCAGAAATCGTAGATAATGACTTTTTAAGAACATTCTCCGCTTCAAAATATAGTTAGTGATTGACTTTTCAGATTATTCGATAAAGTGTTAGTGACTTTTGGCAGCAATAGGACGATATGTTTTTATTGTGCATAGTTTATATTTCGATCATACAGTTTATCTATTATAAATATTTTACCGTAAATCACCTCATCATTCACCCTTACCCTTATTTTAGAGGTGGTATATTTCGACTCCAAAACCATGTCTATGAGTTTTTTTCGCAAAAAAATATTCTGAAAATCATGCATTTTCTTTTAAATTTTTCTGTGTATTTTAAAAAACTTTTTAGAACTGCCTGTTCACCGCAAATGTTCCGACGGTATAATTTCTTAATTACGGTATTAAAAGAGTTGCATACAAAAAATCCGGTGGTCCTCAAATTTTTTTTTTTTAAATTTCCAAACTTGAATAATTCGGTTATTTTGGAAAAAACGGCAAAGAGAAAATATTGTTACGGATTCCGTGGGTCCACTAATTTAAACTCACGATAAAATACTTAACGAATTTATTTTCTCACTTTATACACAATTACTAACTTATAACACACAACAAACTAACTATTTATAAGATTCCTTCACCAAATTGTCCGATTTTCAATTTCCACGCGGTATATTCACTAAACATTTTAACACCTGAGGTACGAATGTGACCAAATGATTATGATATAATGTTAAAATAATAATATACATGAACTAGTACTTGACACTGACATTTTTATAATTTTCAAGGTTTATAAACAAATTAATATTTTAACACGTATTGCTTCTTAACAATAATAATAATTGTGGTTTTCACTAATAGTTAAACAGAATTTTAAAAACCTTTTACATTATAACTATTAATAAAATATTGCATGATTCATTCTCCGGTGTAATTACACTTACCTACGACAAATGAGCCGTTGAAAACCAGACTGAACTATGTCAATTTTTTGGGATTTTCTAATTTCAAAATATTACGATTCCTGATAGTTTTCTATCTACACAGGAGGTTTTAAAAACGTTAGCACAGAGAACATGTTCTCTGTGATGTTAGTCTATAAAAACTTTCATATATCTCACTCAAAATTGTAACCGTTAAGACGCAACCAGTTACATCAAACAGCGAGAGTGGTTCCAGTCAGACTTAACCACATGTTAACTACTCTGGCATTTTATTAGTATATTTCTTACGGCGTAATGTGATTAACAAAACTAATTTTGCTTCAAAAAGTTGATTGGATAAGGCAGTTACTCGTCACAAATTCATTTTTAGGGTTCCGTACCCAAAGGGTAAAAACGGGAACCCTATTACTAAGACTTCGATGTCCGTCCGTCCCTCCGTCTTTCACAAAGGTCTATCTTATGAACCGTTATAGCTAGACAGTTGAAATTTTTACAGAGAATGTATCTATGTTGCCGCTGTAAGAACAAATACTAAAAACATAATTAAATAAATATTTATAAAAAAAAGTGCTTTCACTAAACATTATCTTTTAAGTAAGAATTTTACATAGAATCTTTCAAGTCCTCGGTGGCCGCGTGGTTAAAGCGTTAGGACTTTACGCTACTATGACGTTGGAGCCGTAGTAAGGCAGGTTCGAATCCTAATCAAGGCGACTTTTTTCTAGTCGTTTTTTTTTAATTTTTACATATTTATTTTTACTTTTTACAAATTTATTATTGATTAATACAATTTTTAGTAATGTGTTTCGTTATTTTTTTAAAATAACTAATAAGCGCATTCAAAATTTCAGCTAAATCGGAAAAAAGTTTGTAATAATCAAAGACATTATAAAAATAGACCGAACATCTCATTTATAAATACTCGTTGGTAGTGTATCAAACATTCCAATGTGTCAAACAAGGACAAAAGAGACAGAAAAGTCTAAAATTTCCGACCCCGGCAACTAGGCGCATTTGGATTGTTCTAATGGCCAGTGGCGTATCGTTTTTTGGAACGAATTTAATTAGTAAAGTAAAAGTAAAGTAATTAGTAAAATTTTTACTCCATACTAATATACTACATTAACACTTTTTCGTTAGATGAGTTTTGTTATAAGGTCTAATATAATAATATAATTAATATCCCACATATACTTATGTTGAAACGTTAGTAGGTAGTTTTCGAAAATCGCTCCAACGTCGATATTCAATTTATACTTTCAGTTACTTCTATATAAACACTCAGTTACTTTTGAATACTTACAGGGTGACTCAGGCTTCCGAAACAGTTCTATATTAGGTTTGTGGTTAGTGACTTTTCTTTCAATTTTTTTTTAGAATATGGAGGCAATGGTAAAGCACCTTTTAGACATTTTTGTAATCATAGGTGGCCGGAACATATTTCAAACTAAAGTTGTAGGATTTGCCATTAAATTTCCATTCCAGAAATATCTAGGGTTGCCACCTGTCCTTTTTGAAAAGGACAGTCCTTTTGGAATAACTTGTCCTTTTGACTTTTTTTGACTTAAAAAGTCATTTTTATTTACGTATTTTCCCTGAG